TATTCCGGCTATTAATCACTTGGAAATTGCATGTATTTCAATTTTCGTCTTTTAGTCTGTGACTATTATGGTGTCTTTTGATTCACAGAAGCTGTGTTTTGTTTTATAATTCATGGTTTTTCTTAATAATATGTTTTATGCCAAACTTTTAAAAGTCCTTTCTTCCCCTAAAGTCATAAAGATATTCTCCTATATAAGTAGTTGAAAAACTTTTTCTTGCATTTAGATCATTAATGCAATTAATCCTATGTAGGAGAAGGACATTTATTTTCCATGTGGATAAACAGTTGTCTCAATTATTAAATTGTCTACTCATGCCCATTTGTATACAATGACATGTTTGTAATATACTAAGTTTTCATAAAAGCATGTGTTAATTTCTAAGTTCCCCATGTTGTTCTGTTTAGCCAATCATTTATTATATCTGTTTCAATAGTAGATTGTGTTATTTTTCATAATAGTCAAAAGATGTTTTGAAATCTGATAAGGCAGTATGCACACATTTTTTTCTTCACAATTTTCTTGGATATATTTGCCCTCATGCTTTTTCACATAGATTTATTTTGTCAAGTTCAACAACAAAAAAAAGCCTGTTAGTAACTTTTCCAGAATTTCAATGAAGTTTTACACCGATTTGGAAAGAATGGATATTTATATGATACTGTGCCATCTTTTCACTTTGAGGGATCTTCTTTAATGCCTTTTAATGAATTAATATCTTTTTTTTCTACATAAAGGTAATATAGATACATCCCTAGGCAAATGATAGACTTGACTGTGATTTTAAACATTATGTTTTAACATATTCCACTTTTACAACTGCTTCTTGCTTGCAGAAATCAAGCAACTCTGCTGAACTTTGTAGTAGTATTGTACATTTACAGATTTTCTTGGGTTTTCATGTATACAATTATATTGCAAAAAAAAAGACAAAATTATTCCTTTTAAAGTCTTAGTTTTATTGATTTTTTTTTCCTTGATCCACAGTACTGGATAGGAGCTCCAGCAAAGTGTTGGGAAAAAGTTATGTCTCTGTTTCTGACTTTTAAAAAGCATATTTTATATCGTTCTATTGTGAATTATGCTTACTATGGGTTTGTATATTTATTTTATTCAATTTTAACATTAGCTTTTGATTGTTGTGTAACAAATTACCACATACTTAGTGGCTTAAAACAACACATGTTTATTATCTTATAGTTTCTGTGGGCCAGAAGTTCAGCATGGTTTAGCTTTGTCTTCTGCTGAGAGTCTCATAAGAATAAACTCAAGGTATGAGCTGGCCACGTACTCAACTAGAGGCTACACTGAAGAAAAAGTCTTCTTCCATTCTCATTCAGGTTGTTGGCAGAACTTAGCTCATTAGAATTGTGAAACTGAAGTCCTCACTTTTTTGCTGGCTGACAGCTGAGCACTGCTCTTGGTCTGGCACTAGAGTCCCTGCTACAGACTTTCCAAATTAGATCTCTTCATAAAGCAATGGTCCAGTCTCTTTGAAAGGCTCACCTGTGTTGCTTAGTCTCCTCAAGATAATCCTGTTTCCTGACTTCAAAGTAAACCAATTTAGAACCTGAATTATATCTACATCAGTGAAATTTCTTCACCTGTGTTATAAAAGTAAATTAATTACAGAAGAGGTTTTGTTTTCCATAATAAAAGTCTCTAGCTGTGAGTTGTGGGCTTGCCTGTAGTACCAGCTGCTGTTCAGGGTGCTGAGGTGGGAGGATATGGAGCTCAGGAGTCAGTTGGAGGCTGCAGTGTGTGATGATTGTGCCCCTGGACACCAGCCTGGGTGTCAGAGTGAGACCCCATCTCTAAACAAGGAAACAAAGAAATAAGTAAATAGTCCTAGCCATAGTCATGGATAGAGAATTATACAAAGGTGGGTATCCAAGGGACTAGGAGGAGTCTTGAGGTCCAATGTAGAATCTGTTACTACAACATTATTTGCTAAATTAATATCAGCCTTTTTCAATTCTTCATTTGTCCTACTTTTAATTATATTTATGTTTATATTTATTACTCAATAATAAAAACCATAAGGCCATAGCCTTAAAGTAAATCTTGAAATAGGGGAGTATAAATTCTTTAAATTTGTTCTTTTTCAAATTTGAACACTCTTTTTTTTTTTTGTATTTTCACATACACTTTAGCTGATTATTTTTTATAGATACCTCATATTCTCTGACTTTATTAAACTTTATTTCTGGCATCTTTATAGTGGGATTATTAGGATTTTCTATGTACACAATCAGGTTGTCTGAGAATAAAGACAGCTTTTAGGTTTCTTTTCCAGTGTGCATGTGTTTGATTCATTTTCCCATCTAGTAAATTGTTTAGATTTTTCCATTGTTGATTAGAAGAGGCAATGGCAGAAATCCCTGTCTTCTGCAAAATCATAGAGAAAAATAAAATTAGCTTTTCAGCTGTAAATAAGTTATTGGTAGTTTTTTTTAAAAAAATCATTCTCTGTATCAGATTAAGGAATTTCTACTACTAGCTTGCAGAGAGCTTTTTAGCATAAATAATGCTGAATTTAGCCATATGTAATTTTCTAGATCTATTGGGATCATTATGTGTTTTTGTCTCCTTTCTTCTGCACACACATAATATAGTTTTACTTTTGAATATTAAAGCAACCCAGCAGTCCTGTTATAAAATCCATTTCATCATGTTATATTGTCTTTTAATATATTAATTGAATCATATTTGCTACGTTTATTAAAATGTATTACAGTACTGCATCTATGTTTGGGAGAAATATTTGACTGTAGTTTTCTTCTTGTTTGGTCATGTAACACTGTTTTCGTCAAATGGCTTGGAAGTATTTATACCTTCTCTATTTTCTGAAAGAGTTTTTATTAAATTAGTATGCTTTTCTCTTTAAAAAAAAAAAAAAGAAATCAGTAATATAAACTCTACTTAAGATTAGTATCCCAATTCTGATATTCATTTCCCTAAGCATGAAATTACTAAAGAAGGATTCAGAGCAACTAAATCAATGTAAATTGCAGAGATTTTGGATGTTAATTATTAGGAATATAAAATCAAGGCTGATCTGCCATTCAAGGTATTGGTGAAAAAATATAAAAGTGCTGGAAGAGAAGTTTTAAATGATGTTTAGAAAGATAGGGAAAAACTCTTAAATCAATTGAAACAACCTCATTCCATGTGTCATGCTGAAATTAAAAATTTTAATTGCTACAGGCTAAAATTAAGTCCACCAGCCACTGAACAATTATGAAAATAATACTAATTATTGTTATAATTTGAAAAACGTAGAAAATGACAGAAACTAGAAGTAGAAGCTAAAGATGAAATGCTTAGTTTTTATTTTCTAACAAGGAGAAATTGAGATAACTTTACCTGGTTTTAATGCACCAAAAGATTTGAAATGAAGGCACACAAGTTTAAAATGCATAAAAGAAGTGAGGAGAATCAGAGGAATTGGCATAATGAAATGAACGATAAAACCTCAAATTTGATTTGTATATTACCATAACTCAGCTTGCAAAAACTAAAAAAGATTTTATTGGCTTAAAATCCTAAAAATGCATTTAAAATCCTAAAAATGTGTTTAAAATCCTAAGAATGCTAAAACATAGGCAAAATAAGAGTGAACTGGGAAACAATGAAACAATAATATCATATCCTAAGGCCAATATCACTCTCAGAAATTAAAATGAAAAAAGCAATGACACACCCACACCTTTTTGAGACGGAGTTTCACTCATGTTACCCAGGCTGGAGTGCAATGGCACGATCTCGGCTCACCGCAACCTCCGCCTCCCGGGTTCAGGCAATTCTCCTGCCTCAGCCTCCTGAGTAGCTGGGATTACAGGCACGCGCCACCATGCCCAGCTAATTTTTTTTTTTTTTTTGTATTTTTAGTAGAGACGGGGTTTCACCATGTTGACCAGGATGGTCTCGATCTCTTGACCTCGTGATCCACCCGCCTCGGCCTCCCAAAGTGCTGGGATTACAGGCTTGAGCCACCGCGCCCGGCCTAAAATGAAAATTTTTAAAATATCAATTAAAATTAACAAAATAATCCTATAACTGCTAACTACTTGAGGAAAATGTAAATGAATTTAAAAAGAAATCTGTTTAAGGCTGAATATTTCTAGAGGAAATAATTTAATGTTGGATAAAAATATGAAATATTTTATGACTATAAAATACATTCAACTCATAAAAGGGTGGTTATCAGAGCTGGGAGGAGTGAAGTGGAAAGGAAAAGGGAGGGACTGATCACAGGATACAAAGTTTCAGGAGATAGGAGGAATAAGCTACAGTGATCTAATTACATGGAACTGTGGCTATAGTTAATAATAATGCATTGTATCTTCCACAGTTGCTTAAAGATTGGACTTTAAAAGTTATCACCACAAAAATGATCAGTATGTGAGGTGATGGGTATGTTAATTAGCTTGATTTAATCATTCCACAATGCACACATGTAGCAAAATATCACATTATACCACTTAAAAACACACAATTATTATCTGTCAATTAAATATAAACTAAAATTTATTAGAAGAGTAAATTATTCTTAGTTTTGACAAGTTATTTCTTAAAATGCTGCTACAAAGAGCAAATAACAACTAGCCAACTAAAACCATCTGATACACATTGTTGCAAATTTTACAAATAGTTAAAAGAAACATGTTTTTGGTAAATCATTGCATTTGGTAACTTTGGCAAATTAGTGATTCCATAAATTGATCATTTGTTGATTCTGTGTGTTTGAATTATTGCCAACTTGCCAAGTTCTTTTATCTAGGACAGGGTTAAGTTTACCATTGTATCTCCAAAGTCTGCTGCTGTGCTTGGTACAGTAGGTATTCTGTAAATAGTTGATGAACTAATTAATGAGTGAATGGTTTTGAGTGAGGCGAATACAAAAAGGCAATATAACTACCAATGCTCCTGGCTTCAAAGACCTTACATTCTAGTGTAGACTGAGTTATACTCCAACCATTTTCTGTTATTGATTATGTAACTATAGTGCAACTTCTTCTGTATGTTTACTTATTCTTGGATTCACATGAACAGGTGAACTTTACTGTTATACCGTATTTGGGGACTATTTAAATGAAACTATAACTTCCTTCCATAGAGAGACGAAAACACCTTTTCAAACAGGCCAGAGTGAGGCAATATTCCACAGGGTTTGAGAGCAAAATTTCTAATAAAATATTTAAAACCCTAAAGGTAAGTTCTTGCATATGTGACATTTGCACAGCAATTCATTCTGAAATGATTGCCAAGCTGACTTGAGTGAGAAAAGCAAGCGGAAGAAGGAAGTGCCTGGCCAGGTCCACCTATCTCTGAATCAGAGGAAGTGCTCAGGCCAGCATCATGAAACAGCCATGGTGGGACTTTTTCTTTTATTTTCTTCTACCCCTTCAACTCACCTCCTTGTCCATAATCAGAAATGAGAGGAAATGAGGCAAAGGTAAGTCCATCCCTAGCTCATAGAGCTGACAGAAGACAGGTAGGTTGTATAGAGAGCTGGGCACTGTGGGCACGGCCCATGTTATAGTGAGCTTGTGTGGAACTGGTACAGTAAGAGCAAGCGGCTTTTCCTGTGCAGTGAGTTGGAATTAAACATGCTAATTTGAGGTCTCTTTCAAGTATTTTGTTTAACTCCATTGGCCTTTAATTCCTTTATATTGCATCATTTAATGTAATGTTATTTATATATGAAGCATGTTATGCTTATTAACCAATGTGCAAAAATCTAAAGTACAGATTTTCTATAATGGGCTAATTACAGGACTTTAAAGCCACCTACTGAGTTTTGCTGAGCTTCACAACAGGTTCACTGAACTGGATAAATTTATTCAAACGTGTGGAAATGAACCCCATTCTATGTGCAACCGTACTGGGAAAACACACAAATTATACCTCAATACCAGTTTAATGGGTCAAACAGTGAACCTGAATACTGAACTTATCTACATCTTAAAATAGTGGGGAAGCCAGTGGTAAAAAAAGGAAGTGCCCATTCAAGGGAGTTTCTCCCTGTTTGTAAACAGTGGCAATAAAACAATAAGCCTGGCCATTAGGAGCAAGTTCCCCATGCTCAGAAAACAGAGGTGGTTGCCTTTCAATGACCTTTGAAAATACACAACTTTCATAACCAAACCCAAGAGTGGAACGAAATGACGAAAGCTCAGCAAACACACATCCCAAGTGCAGCCCTTTAATCTTTCCTGAGAACAAGAGGCACGTTTTCTTGTGTCATGGCTTAGGAGAAATTCAGCACAGGGTGTTCAGAGTTAGAAATACAAATAAGGCCTAAAGATGCAGTGAAATTAGACACTCTTCAAACCAGTTTTTTTTTTTTTTCCCTGAGCTTGATCGAAACAGGGATATGTTGATCATGTTAGTATTATTTCTTCATTAATCCACTCTCAAATGGTTTCTTTCATTTGAGAGTTCCAGAGGACTTTAGACTTAAGCTTCATAGCACTGTATTTAAAACTATTATTCTAGTATGAATAGAATATGGATTATGAAAATACAAAGATTGGGAAGAAAAAAAGAAAATAGAGGTAGACAGAAGTCTGAGAGTCAGGTCAGGAACAGGAGGTGAACGGAAAAAGCCTACTTCCTATACTGCATCTTTGTCGATGAAAGTTCTGTTTCCAATTAGATATATTCCCCCCCTTACACACACACACACACACACACACACACACACACACACTCTCTCTCTCTCTCTCATATATGATCATATATGCTATCAGTGAAAACAGACATTTCTTTTTCTATAGCATCTTGCAGCAATGATCTACTAATTTTGTCATGAAAAGGAAGAGAATGTTATTTCCAAGGCTGCAAGAATTCCGGTCCTGTCCTCAGGGAACCCTATTGACAATGTACACTCCACCCCTTGGCTGACAGTAAGTAGGGTGTTGATAACCTAATCCATGCTTTTCTCTTCAGGGTGATGCTGGCATGCCAGCTCTGGAAGCCGTGAAGCCTAGATTTATACAGCACTCTCTGCAAGTGCCACACACACCAATAAAAAGAGAGTTCTTCAGAAAATGAGGTGTGACGCAGGCCAGCTTTGCCAAGACTCTCGGACCAAGAAATAAGGATTTAAATATGAAATACTAAAATTTAACACATGACTGAAACAAAATAGATGGTGTACTACTGAAAGCGTTTGAGGTAATTAATCAATGCTGTGTTTGTACATATCATTAAATATATTATGCTCAGTTTAGATTTGATTTCTATGCTCCTTTTATAAAGAGTTAAAAGAAAATACATTTGAATTCACGCTGATACCGAAAACATGCTCCTAGCTTCTAGTTTTTTGGATTTCAAATCATTTCCATTAACAAACAGCTATTTGCCCTCTAATAAAATATGTCATTATGCTTTATTCACATCGCACAAAAGAATCACTGAAAAATCGCCCCAATGATGGCCAATAATTACACATTTTGCTCCTGTGCTAGCGATGAAGAAATCTGTTCATTGGAGAAAGCAGGTGCTAGGGCGTCAAGCTAATAGTCAATGTGTGCCACGGTAATTAGCCACTGCGATCGCTAAAATTAACAATTAGCTAACATGCAATTCTCTTTTTTGCAGGCTGCAGTTTACTTTGTAGAATCCTTGCATGTTCTTAGTAATTATTCTGACAGCTTATTATTTTTATTTTTTCTGGTTTGAACACAGCTTTAACATTTGCATCAGGCGACCCAAATGTTCAACAGGCAGAAGTGAAACAACTGCTTGACTAGGCATTTTTGTGAGGCACACATTTGGTTGTTTTCTGAACTTTTCATTGCTGGGGAGGGGAGTGGTAGGGGTGAGAGCTGTGATTCTCTCATAGCTATTGTCTTCTCCCCTAGGGCCTTCCTCCAGGCCAGCACACTCAGCCATCCTGAAGCTTTTAGAAGGAAAACTGCCCAGTCAGCGGCAATTTAGACTCTAGGGAACAACTCCAGGGATGAAGTGCCACAGTCAAGCTGGTCAAAACATCTTCCTTTCATTCTTCTTCCCCGGAGTGTGTCTTTGGTTAATGCATTCACTGCCCCCGCACAACGCCCCCCACCCGCCCTTACTGAGAGAGAAAATGTAGCATCCTGTGTGGCCTGTTCTCGTCAGGGGTGTATGCTGAGATAATATTGCTAGAGCCTTTTAATGGATAGAATTAGGAAGGCCTCAGCCTACATGCCGAAGAAAGAAAAAATTAAAAGGCAAAGGAATAATTTGTTTCCAGAAATCCTCTGGGAGACAGAAACGTGTTGAAGGCATTTAAGCATTCAAGTAAGATAAATCGTGGCAAAAATTTAACAAACTGTGATTCCAAACTATATTAGTTTCCTGTCGTGGCCAAATTACTACAGATTTAATGGCATAAACCATACACATTTATGAGCAATGCGTATGGTTTATGCCATTAGATTTATTGCTCATAAATGTGTATGGTTTATGCCATTAGATTTAACCTCCAGAACAATACACAGTTCTGGAGGTCAGAAGGCCAAAATGGGTCTCGCTAGGCTGAAATCCAGGTGTCGCCAGGGCTGCGTTCCTTCTTAAGGCTCTGGGGCTGAAGCTGTTTCCTTACCGTTTCCGCACTCCTTGGCTCAAAGGAGTCAAACACCATTGCATCTTCAAAGGCAGCAACACCGCATCTCTCTCACAATTCTGCAGCCAAGCCACCCTCTGACCACAGTTGGGAAAATTCTCCAATTTTAAGGACCTTTGTGATTACACTGGGCCCACCTGGGTAGTCCAGGATCATCGCCTCCTCTCAAGGTCCTTAATTTAGTCATGTCTGCAAAGTCTCTTTTCTCATGTAATGTAACATAGTCACAGGTTCCAGGAATTAGGACACGGACATTTTTGGAGGGCCATTATTCGGCCTGTCATTGAAACCAAGGAAAATATACATGGAGTAAGTTTGTATTTTCTACCCTAGAGAGTCAGTGCACATTTAATGTCAGGGATTGAATTATTTGGGAGCGGTGGGGTACACAGGGGACAATGGATTTCCATCGTTTCCATAGACAATGAACTCTTCATGGCCCTCCTGTGCCAGGTTCCCCAACTGAAAATGGAGCTAGTACAGGTTGTGCTTTGTCCTGCCGCTCCCAGTCTCCTGAGTTTGGAGGGTCTTCTCACCCTCTTATTGGAAGTGGCACTTTTTAGAGTGCAGGCTTGTCCTGGCTAAGAGCTATCATCACGTGTTCTGTGCTTTATTACAGAACTGCAGCACTCTGACTTACTTACTGTGAGAATGAGTGACACAGACTGCTGTCCACGGAAACCCTGAACAACATAAGGAACTCTGTCCACTGCAGTCCTAGCTACTAAAAGGTAGCGACAGAGAGGTAGAGCTACATTCCTGAGAAGTGCTGCCACCTTGTCCAGGTATGAGCTGATTTTCAGGGCCCAACAGGGCTGTGACAGATGCTTCTCAGCAAGGCCCAGAAAATCTGTAGAGACTCAGGAGGGCCCGGCTTAGCAGGAGAGGTCGGGAAAGTGAGCTGTGGAAGAGGCTGGGGCTAGGTTTGTGGTGAGAAAACACAGCAACGTTCTGTTTGTTCAAGTGGGAGGAAACTGGAATGAGTAGGATCTGCCCAGAAGAGGTAGGTAGGCAGGCGGGAGTCAGGCATCCTGAAAGCTGATCACTACTGAGTTTCAATAAGGTGAGACCACACAGTCTAAGATGGTCCTCGTTTAATGGCAAAAAGACATGGGGTATGGAGGTGTGCCTTGTTTTAAGAAAATCTACCCTTTGAAATAGAAATGTATTGGATTCTTTGATTTATAAGTAATTCACCACATAAGTTATTGAAGCTGGGCGTGATGATTCATACCTGTAATCCCAGCTACTCAGCAGGCTGAGACAGGAGGATCACTGGAGCCTGAGCTCGAGATCAGCCTGGATGATATGGTGAGACCCTGCCTCAAAAAAAAAAATAATAAAATGAAATAAATAGGTTGTTGATATAGTGAGCTCCTCCTATGTGTGTAACACAGAATTCTGTACACGCACAAGAAAATGTATTGTCCACTCCCAATAGCATATCTGTTGCATAAAGTGAGCTATCCACATAAGGTAAGGTTCCTGAAAAAGAGTGGACCAAGAGAACTTTTGGGAAGGATGGAACCAAAGCTTCAAAATGCTCTGCTAAACTCTCAAGGTGTGTGCTGCCACTCAAGAGGCTGACCAAGATGTTTGGGGAAGGCTTGGGAGAGGCTACACCCCTCCAGTGGTGACGCAAGGTATCAGAATGATGGCATAATGCAAGGCAGCATGTCTAAGGAAACGTGTATTCCAGTTTGAAGGTACCTTACCGGAGGATTTTCATTATCTCACATAAGAACAATTGTGGCTTATATAGAAGAACTACAGTGGCTTATGGCATGCAAAGCCTTTTTCATTCTCCAAGAACAATCAGTATTTCTTCATTGGTGACATCTTGCCAATATTCAAAGTCATTATTCTTAATTTTTTATTTACAGATAGAAATGCCAAGACAATGGTTTAGAAAATACTTTGGGTTCCTACAAGCCAGAAGAGAGTGGGGGCCAATATTCAACATCCTTAAAGAAAAAAACTTTCAACCCAGAATTTCATATCCAGCCAAACTAAGCTTCATAAGTGAAGGAGAAATAAAATCCTTTACAGACATGCAATTGCTGAGAGATTTCATTGCCACCAGACCTGCCTCACAAGAGCTCCTGAAGTAAGCACTAAACACAGAAAGGAACAACCAGTACTAGCCACTGCAGAAACTTACCAAATGGTAAAGACCAATGACGCAATGAAGAAACTGCAACAACTAACGGGCAAAACAATGTGCCAATAACAAAATGGCAGAATCAAATTCACACATAACAATATTAATGTTAAAGGTAAACAGCCTAAATGCCCCAGTCAAAAGACAGAGACTGGCAAACTGGATAAAAAGTCAAGACCCATCAGTGTGCTGTATTCAGGAGACCCATCTCACGTGCAAAGACACACATAGACTCAAAATAAAGGGATGGAAGAAGATTTACCAAGCAAATGGAGAGCAAAAAAAAGCAGGGGTAGCAATCCTAATCTCTGATAAAACAGACTTTAAACCAACAAAGATCAAAAGAGACAAAGAAGAGCGTTACATAATGATAAAAGGATCAATGCAACAAAAAGAGCTAACTATCCTAAATATATATGCATCCGATACAGGAGCACCCAGATACATAAAGCAAGTTCTTAATGACCTACAAAGAGACTTAGACTCTTGCACCATAATAGTGGGAGACTTTAACACTCCACTGTCAATATTAGACTGATCAACAAGACAGAATATCAACAAGGGTATCCAGGACTTGAACACAGATCTGGAACAAGAGGACCTAACATACATCTACAGAACTCTCCACTCCAAATCCACAGAACATACATTCTTCTCAGCACCACATCGCACATCACATTTGCTTTAAAATTGACCACATAATTGGAAGTAAATCTCTCCTTAGCAAATATAAAAGAACAGAAGTCATAACAGTCTCTCAGACCACAGTGTAATCAAATTAGAACTCAGGATTAAGAACAACACAACTGCATGGAAACTGAACAACTAGCTCCTGACTGTCAACTGGATAAACAATGAAATGAAGACAGAAATAAATACGTTCTTCAAAACCAATGAGAACGAAGACACAATGTACCAGAATCTACGGGACACATTTGAAGCAGTGTCTAGAGGGAATTTATAGCAATAAATGCCCACATGAGAAGTGAGGAAAGATCTAAAATTGACACCTAACATTAAAATTGAAAGAGCTAGAGGAGCAAGATTAAAAAAAAAAAACTCAAAAATAACAGAAGACAAGAAATAACTAAGATCAGAGCAGAACTGAAGGAGATACAGGCGCAAAAAAAATCCTTCAAAAAAATCAGTAAATCCAGGAGCTGGTTTTTTTTGAAAAGATCAACAAAATAGACCACTAGCCAGACTAATAAAAAAGAAAAGAGAGAAGAATCAAATAGATGCAATAAAAAATGATAAAGGGAATATCATCACTGATTCCACAGAAATACAAACTACCATCAGCGATTGCTACAAGCAACTCTATGCACAAAAACCAGTAAATCTGGAAGAAATGGATAAATTCCTGGACACTTGCACCCTCCCAAGACTAAACCAGGA